TTGTCAACACCTAAACTAAAATTTTTCATGTCAGCAATGTCTTAATAGTAGAGTAGTTCAGTGGATTTTAGCCAATGCTTAACAGAGCGGAATGGAATGGAATGGAATGGACTAGGGAATAGCCAATGTCACAGATTGAGGGAGGAGAAACAGATTTGTGGCACACTGGTTGTGCTATATCCTGGGCAGCCTCTGAGCTGGGCCATGATGGAGACCTGTGTTTCATAAGTTAGATTGGAGGCAGAAAAAGTTTCTGAGGCCCCTCTGGGAAATGCATGCTCTTCTAATTTTACCTTAATGAGCTTCAACCTCTAGTGGAATGATTCTGAGAATACGTGTATGAAAAGATTAAGATTGCTTGGGCTATGGAAGTACAGGCTAGTGAAAGGGTGCAACCACACACATCAGCTGTGTGTGTGCATGCATGTGCAAAGACACCCACGTCATCTCAGCAGGGCACCTGGCCCCAAATGCAGCAAGCAAGCTGCTTGAACAGGGGAAGAGAAGGTTCTAGGTAAGGAGAATGAAATGAAATTCAAAACCCTCCAGCCTAGCCAGCAGGAGGAAACAGTATGTATTTAGAGCCACACAGGTGTCAGATCCTGGAGGGGTGGTGGAATTCTCCAACACAGAAATATTAACCTTATGGAGAGCTTGGTGTTTCAGTACATGGGTGTGGGGTGAAGAGTGCAGATGGCCCCTCACTTTATTTTTATATCTGTGTGCAAAGTGATGAGAGTCAGCAAGTGAGGAAATGTAAGAAGGGGCCAGGCTCGCTGTATCCTAAGCAGGACAGGCAAGATCCTCACAGGCCCCTCTGACCCCAAAGTCATTTAATGGGGAGCACCTGGTAGACACGAAACATCCACTAGATAGAGGGTTTTCAGATACAGCTCAGAGCCTAAAGGTTAGATTGAACCCAAGGGGTGGAGGAACTTGTCTGGGGGGAGAGCAGGGCCAGAGAACACAAGGAAAGTGTGCCGTTTCATGGCTCCCCCAAAAAAGTGTTCAGTAAAAAGAGTCAAACATCTGCCCAGTGATATTTATGGATTGTTATTTGCTTCCTCAAAAGTTTCTTCTTCAGGAGAAAAAGGAAGGTTCTCTATGTGTTCACATGGGTTGTAACTTTGAGAGATGTTCTGTACTGTCGTATCTTCCCTTGCAACAATCCTTACAAGCCAAATTTATCTTGTTTTGAAAAATGCACTGGAAAAGATATTAGTCACCACAACCATGCAAGCATCCACGACTCCAAACAAAGGTGTTCATTAAGACTGCAAGCATTAACTATGCGTCCAGCAGTGTTCATGGTTACCAGGAAAGTCGCACATCTCTGTTACCAAGAAAGCTCAGCAGAGACAGATACAGGACATGCGTGCACACCAGCTCTGTAAAGATAACTGAAGGGCCTCCTCCTAATTTGCTTCCAGTGGTTTAAAAAAATCATTTTCATTTTACTAAATTAGGTTTTCAAGAGATACTACTAAAACAGGCCACCACCCAGTGTTTGGTGCACACATGCAGTCCCAGAACCCTGGGAGGCTGAGACAGGAAGACTGCTAGTTCAAGAACAAAGAAGGCGAAATAGTGAGACCTTTGTCTCAAAATAAATAATAAGAATAATAAATTGGAGGAGATGTAGGTCAGTATGGAGGCTTCGGGTTCACTCCCCAGTAATCCACATCTATCTTGGTTTTTTTTTTTTTTTTTTTTTTTTTTTTTGTACCAGGAATTAAATTTATGACCTCACACTTACTAGGCAGGTGCTTTCAGATACAACTCAGAATTGCCACTGAGCTAAACCCCCAGCCACACTATCTGTGTTTTGTTTATATATATGTATTTGTGAGTTTAAAATTCCTTTAGATGGTTGGTTCCTGCCCAAGAGGCACACGCCCATTTTTCAGAAGTAAATACTGGTCCTTTCTGACTGCAGCACGCAACTATTCAAACACATTCTTGGTTCTTTACTTTTAAAGTTATGTTTGTTTTTAAATTTATCTTAGGATGCAAAAATGGAAATAAAAAACTGCAAGGCAGTCACGGAGTTTGCTTTTCCTTTCCTTCCTCAAGACCTCACCAAATGCAGATAACACGAAACACACAGAGGTGGGGCCACTTTCCCAAATAGCAGCAGGATTCAGCTTTCGTGAAAATCGTCTTTAGCCACCTGTGCGAAGGGGACAGAATCCGGGTCAGGACACACCGGGCCCCTGTGGGTGGCTCTCCCCGGTTCCGCAGGGTGCCAGATCTCTCAGTCATTCTCAACTCCGCTTCTGTTTTGGCTTTGTCCTTTCCAACACAAGAGCGTCTTTCTTGGCACAGAAATCGCGTCTTATCTGAAAGAGCCGATGTTTAACTTCTACCTCTTCGCGAAGGAGCACAGCATTTTGAGAGGAGACCTGGGTTGCTGTCCCCGCTCCGCGCCTCCTTTCATCTGCAGGGCCACGGCCGCACATCGACGTGGAATTCGCCCGAGAACCTCAGCTGTGCTCCCCGCTGGCGTCTGAAATGGTCAAGGCCCTCGGACTTAGCAGCGCAGATGCAACTGAGGGCATACATTTCAGCCCCTCCCTCTCTCTGGAGCGTGGATTTGTCACACGTGCCGGGGGAGGGGAGCGTGGATTCACTGCTGGCTCCTCCCCCTCTCCGTGGGGTCCCCTCAGCCGGCAACTATGTGAGGTAAGAGAAGGCAGAGTTGTCCTCCCGTGTGCAGACGGATTCACACACTGCCTGGGTTTCCTGTCTCCAGCCTTCCGATCGCCCTATGCGAAGGACTGAATTCTTTCCCTTCCCACGACTCTAAATAAAATAAAATAAAATTCCAGAGTTACGAAGATTTACGTTGGCTTGACTAGCAGAAGCATTTGGAGAAGTGTTTCCAATTAGGGTGCCTCCAGGAAGGGAATGAAATACAGCGATTGTCATTTGTTTTCATTTTTACTTTTTATTATCATTATTATCAGCATTATTTGCAACTGAGTACCTGTAAAATCTGCTACCATTTCATCTTAAAATCCCCAAGAAAATAACGCGAAAGTGAAGAAGAAATGCAGGGCTGTTCGCAGAGAGGGCATCTGGAGAGACGCGGGCTGGGGTCGTCCTCCCCGCCCCCAGCAGCTGATTTTCCCGTGCACGCCCGAGGCTGAGGAGGAGGAGGAGGCCGGGGAACTGCTCCAAGTCGCCCGCCCCCGGCGCTAGGCAGGGGGACGAGGAAGGCAAGGGTGACCACAGACCTTAAATGGGAAGTGGCGGTTTTATTTTCCCAGCCCCAGAATAGCCCCGCACAGGTAATGGGGACCAAGAAGACACAAAGAAAAGCGAGTTTCTCCGTGGCGCCGCCGGCTCCACGGCGCAGGGGGCTACAGCCGGCCGTGCAGTCTCTCAGCGCCAGGCAGCCCAGCCCACCTTTGTTCCGCTGGTCGCTTCCGCGCGCCGATCCGAAGGCTTCGGGCTGGAAATTCGAGTGCACCTTCTTTTAGCGTTGCTTTCTGTCGCTGAGCTAAAATAGCAAGTGACCTAGAAGCTTAGCGAAGCTAGCAATTGCAAGATTTCAGGAGGAGGCTGCGGCAGAGGGCGTTGGTGACCCACGAAGGGGGAAGGGACAAAGAGGAAGGGAGGACTGGGAAGAAGACGGGGAGCCGGGGGAGGGGCGAAGCGAGGAGAAGAGCCAGACTCGTAGTGGGGGACGCGCCGGGTGGGGGTGGGGATCCGAGTCCCCGAGTTCCTGTCTGTCCAGATCGGAGGCGAGGACCCAGCACCAACCAAACCCCCAGACCGTTACTCGGGGCGGGGCGCACGGCGGGGACGCGGCGCAGCCAAAGCGCACAGCGACGTCTCCAAAGGCGCGCGCCCTGGGAAGGCAAGTAGACGGAGAAAAGGGACAAAACAAAACCAAAAACTGAAATAATACTAATACTAATATTAATAAATCATGCAAACCGGGGAAGGGAGCCTACAGCCTCTCTAGCTTTGCAAATGGATTTTTTTCTTTTGCCTGCTTTAGAAAAAGACGAGAAAAAAAGCACCCACGTGCCCGCAGAAGGCGGCTGTGTTAAAGCGCCACCTTCCGCCGGCCCGGGGTGCAGCGGGCTGGGCGAGCCGGGAGCAGCTGAACCCCCGGGGAGCAGCCGAGCGCACCCGGGTCAGATCGGACACCCCGAACCCTCGCCCTCGGGGCGCCCAGCGTCCCAGTCCTTCCCGAGTCAGAGCGTGCGCCCTTGGAGAGGGGACCAGGAGCCCCCTCGCTGGCAGCACCGAGTCTACGGTGCACAAAGAATCCCTGAGTTTCCATGGGGACAGGGTCCTTTTGTTGGCACTGGTACCAGCCTGATCTTTCTGGGGTCCGGTGCTGGGCGCCATTCTCGAACATCCCAGGGAGAGTCGCATCTGTGCGCACACGCGGACTTTTTAAAAATAACATTTCTAGACACTGCCTCCTCCCACCCCCCCCTTCCCCGCCCCCATCTTTGCAAAGCTGCCCAGGGGGCGGGGCGCGGGGGCGGGGCAGTGGGCGGACCCTCTTGGTTAATAAAGGGAGGTGGGCGGGACCGAGGACGCGCTATTGGCTGGTGGCCGGAGTGACGTCACCCATATGACACCCTGATAACGAGTTGAGAGAGAGCCCGCAACTTTTTGCAGAAGCAGCGCGCGCGCCTGGAAGTGCACCGGTCCGGCGCTTGGAGCCACGAGCCGGAGAGGGAGAGAGACAGGGGTCCCGGGCTGTCTCCACCGCCCCACCGCTGTCGTCGTCACCATCGCCGCCGTCGCCTCCTCTCCGGTCGTGGTCGCAGCCCCCACCCCCAGCGCGCGGCCGCCGCCGCTGTGCGCAGCCTGGAAAGGGGGGACGGGGGGGAGGGGGGGCGCCGCGGACCCCGGGAGCCGCGAGGACTTCGCAAGTTGCCGGGGAAGGTGGAGGGGCAGGAGGGGGAGGGGGAGCGAGGCGCGACAGCGAGGACAGCGAGCGGCCCGGGTTGGCGCGCCCAGCCCCACAGCAGATCATGGTGCAGCGGGCGGAGAGCTTGGAAGCGGAGAGCAACCTGCCCCGGGAGGCACTGGACACGGAGGAGGGCGAATTCATGGCTTGCAGCCCGGTGGCCCTGGACGAGAGCGACCCAGATTGGTGCAAGACGGCGTCGGGCCACATCAAGAGACCGATGAATGCCTTCATGGTGTGGTCCAAGATCGAGCGCAGGAAGATCATGGAGCAGTCCCCGGACATGCACAACGCTGAGATCTCCAAGAGGCTGGGCAAGCGGTGGAAGATGCTGAAGGACAGCGAGAAGATCCCCTTTATCCGCGAGGCGGAGCGGCTGCGGCTGAAGCACATGGCCGACTACCCCGACTACAAGTACCGGCCCCGGAAAAAGCCCAAAATGGACCCCTCGGCCAAGCCCAGCGCCAGCCACAGCCCGGAGAAGAGCGCGGCGGGTGGCGGCGCAAACGGGGGCGCAAGCGGCGCGGGCGCAAGCGGCGCGGGCGCGGGCGGCGCCAAGACCTCCAAGGGCTCCAGCAAGAAGTGCGCCAAGCTCAAGGCCCCCGCGGCCGCCGGCTCCAAGGCGGGCACGGGCAAGACCACGCAGCCCGGGGACTTCGGGGGCGCCGGCGACGATTACTCGCTGGGAAGCCTGCGCACAAACGGCGCGGGAGGAGGTGCGGGCGGCGGGAGCACCGGGAAGTCGGTGAAGTGCGTGTTCCTGGACGAGGACGACGACGACGACGATGATGACGACGAGCTGCAGATGCGCATCAAGCAGGAGGCGGACGAGGAAGACGAGGAGCCCGCGCACCACCAGCTCTTGCAGCCTCCCGGGCACCAGCAACCACCGCAGCTGCTGAGACGCTACAACGTCGCCAAAGTGCCCGCCAGCCCAACGCTGAGCAGCGCGGCCGAGTCCCCCGAGGGAGCCAGCCTGTACGACGAGGTGCGGGCGGGCGCGACCTCGGGCGCCGGGGGCGGCAGCCGCCTCTACTACAGCTTCAAGAACATCACCAAGCAGCACCCGCCGCCGCTGGCGCAGCCCGCGCTGTCGCCGGGGTCCTCGCGCTCCGTGTCCACCTCGTCGTCCTCCTCCTCCAGCAGCAGCAGCAGCAGCGGTGGCAGCAGCAGCGCGGGCGACGACGCCGACGACCTCATGTTCGACCTGAGCTTGAATTTCTCCCAAAGCGCGCACAGCGCCAGCGACCAGCAGCTGGGGGGCGGCGCGGCGGCCGGGAATCTGTCCTTGTCGCTGGTGGATAAGGATTTGGATTCGTTCAGCGAAGGCAGCCTGGGGTCCCACTTCGAGTTTCCTGACTACTGCACGCCGGAGCTCAGCGAGATGATAGCGGGGGACTGGCTGGAGGCGAACTTCTCCGACCTGGTGTTCACGTATTGAGTGACGGGGGGGGGGGTCCCCCAAGCCCCCCGCTTCAGGCTCTTTCTCTCCAGAGCTGGGTTCCCTGGGAGGAGGTCGTAGCGGTCAGGATAAAGATGATGATGATTTTGATGATATAGTCGGTGGTGGTTCAGAGGGCGGAGGGGAGAGGAAAAGAAGATATTGATGCTATTGCTAAGATGGGACGCAAAGAAATTGGAAACGATTTTTTTTTTTTTTTGGTGGAGTTAAAGTGAAATTGGTAGTTTTAAAATGTTTCCTACCCTTTTTTTTTTTTTTTTGCCCTCTCCCCTTCCTACTTTGATCGTATTTTCAAGATAGTTGCATATCTAGTCTGGAGTTGTGATTTTTTTTTTCCACACCCAACCCCCCCCCCTCCCATGTGTTTTTGTAATTACTATTTCTTTTTCCTGAAATTCGTGATTGCAACAAAGGTTAGTAGGCGGGGCGGGGGAGGGGAGGCAGGACCCGCTGCTCCGCTCCGGAAAGGCGCTGTTTGAAGCTGGTTGGTGTTAGCAGTGGAAGACGTCTACCGTGAATCCCTCCGGCAGCACAACTCTTACCCTAGGGAGTTGGTGATTTTGTTTCTTAAGAGATCTTAAAGGACTGGTGTTTTTTCTTTAAGAAAACAAAAACAAAAAAGGGACCATTGCAACTTTTTAAATTTTATTTTATTTTATTATGGGTTTTTTTTTTTTTTTTTGGTTGTTGGGTTTTTTTTTTTTTTTTTTTTTTTTTGGTTTTCTTTTTTTGGAGGGAGAAAACTGATGTCTTCTATGCATCTGAATCTTTAACAAAACTGCAGGGAGCTTGAAGAATGCAGACTGTACAAACGCTTACAAAAAAAACTGTGAACTGACATAAGATCAGCGTTTACTTTTCAGATCAAAATTGTTTATGGTTTTACAAATGTGATTTCTACTTGCCAACTTTTTTTTGTAACTTGTTCCCTATACCTCTTTGATTGAATACCAGACAGCCTAAACCTCAGTACAAAGGTATTGAAACATTTTTGATACATAACAGACCTCAGTCTTTTTTAAAAATTAATATATTTTCAGGCGTATTTTTGTACAGTGAAAAGGGAACATTCTTGCTGTGTTTTTTCAGTAAGACTTTCAGGCACTTCTTTCCTTTTGATTTCTTTTATTTTCCTGGGTTTTTTCTTTTTGACTTTTATTTTTAGCATGCTGTTGGTACGTTATATCCTGGTTTAAAAAAAAAGGATTAAAATTTTAAAGTAATCCTTGCATCTAAAGGCCTTGTGGTTTAAAAAAAAAAAAAGCAAACTTTTTTTTGTACAGCTATAGTAGAGATTTGTTCAATATTTGTAGGTAAAGATTTATTGAAAATGGTGATATAGACCTCAGAGCTGTTATCTTAGTTTAAAGATTGTATATGTACTGTACTATAGTAGGAATTTATGTATCTCATACGCTGTGATATGTGGATGGGGCCCCAGGTGGAAGGTTTGAAACTGGATTCTCGATTTTTAGCAAAAAAAGGAAAAAAAGGCACATAGTTTTTAAAAAGTTTCTCATTTTGTGCAATATAACCTAAATAAAGTACAGACCATCTGCATATTTTGTAGCAAATGGTGGCAAGGCAGACTCAATGCGCTGTCTACATCATTGGCTGTTTTTGTTCTGTTTTGTTTTGATTTTGGGGGTTTTTTTTTGGTGTGTGCTGGGAGTCTGTATCTTGGTAATTTTAATAATAAATCAGCTGGGACTGATAAGAACTCGCACGGACCATAGCCTCTCTGGAAGTCTATGGTGCTGGCTTTTGTCGCAGCGCATTCGGTGGCCTGTTTGGTGCCCCGGAGAGGGCCAGGCTTGCGTCTGGGCGCAGCAGAGAACTCAATTAGCAGGATTTCTTCCTGCTCCCTCCCGCTAGTTTGCAGGACCGGCCGAGAGTGTTCTTTCTCTGCTTTCCTTTCCACCCCACCCCCATTTCCTTTCTCACCTCCTCCCTCCCTCCTCTCCACCCACCGGACGCGCAGGGCTCTGCAGCAGGTCGGGGACAGGCGGGCTTGGAAAGGCCCTGGTCGCCGGGGCGCGCGGTCGGGGTCCTGAGCTCTTGGGGGTTGTGAGTTCTGGCCCGAATCCGGAGACCGATTGAGCGTCGCGGGGACAGAGGCCCTGGGGGTCTCGGGGGTTTCCGATCCCCGTGATTCCTTTCGAAGGGTGGAGACAGCCGTTTGTAGTTTTGAATTTTTTCCCTGCCTGTGAGCAGCAGTGGATATGGTGGCGAACACCGCCACCCCTCTTGGCCTCTCGCGGTGACCAGGAAGAAGGGGGCGGACAGAGGACAGGTTGTTGGCGTTGGTGTCCCCGGCCGGGGCCGCAGGCTCTGGCTGGTCATCGGCTTCGCCGGTGTGACCTGAGTTGCGCCTGGCTGCCGGAGGCCTTGTGGGCTTCAGGGGGCGCCTGGGCTGGCCGCGAGCAGCAGGCGTGCAGCCTGGAGACCGGCGGGGTCCTCCAGGCCCCACCTCTGCATGCGTCTGGGCGCATCAGATCTCGCTGGCTCACTGGAGGCTGGTGCTGTTGTCCGTCGCGCGGCCGGTGGGCAGAAAGCTGCCAGGGCTCGAGGCGGGAGGAAACAAGCCAAACCTGGGAGGACGCGCCTTAGGTCCTCCCCGGCGTGTGCGGGGTCTGGGGCGTCCCTGGGTCTGGCTTCCTTGCTGGTGGGCTCCTCCTGCAAGGTGGCTCTTGCATCTTGATATTGTTCTCCAGCCACCTCCTCTGAGCTCGGGGCTAGCGGCGACCACCCATCCCGCGCGTGCCCGGCTCCCTGAGGAGGGCTGCTGAGCCAGTAGCACCCCACTTAACCACCCTTTGTCCATACTTGGCCCTGTCCCGGAGCTCTTGAGCGGACCCTGGTTGGCGAAACCTGAGGGGGTCGCGCGCCCACGGCAGACTCCAAAGCCCCACCCCCACCCCCTTCCACGGTGCCTTTGCCACGTCGTTCACGGGGGCCGAGGAGAGAGGCGGGGGGAGGCCCTTGGGACCCAGTGCGCCAGCCGCAGAGCTCAGGTCCCCGGGGTCTACAATGCAGGAGGTTTGCAACGGCTAATTGAAACTTGGTGCAAAAATCACCATCTGAAGTGGTTTAGGAAGGTGGGCCCTTGAGCCGTTTTTAACCGAGATTTGGCGCGATCCGAAGGAAGCTTCCGCGTGTTCGCAGCAGGCACTTCTAGGCCAGAGGGGCCCTGCGCCCTTCCCGCCTTCCCTTCACTCTCCCGGGTCCCTCTTGAGCCCTCCCTTCCTGGCCTCCCTCCGTGCAGGACGAGCCCTGCCCCAGCCCCCACCCCGGGACGCGAAGCCAGCCAGCCTTTTCTGCAGAGGACAGATTTTCTTTTTTGTGGCTTGCGCCTTCTTGCCGCTGAACCATCAGCTTGCAGCAGTACACTTGGGAAAAGAAAGCGCTCGCGGTGGCGTTAACAAGGTTCCCGAGCTAGAACTGGATTTTTGGAGTTGTTTACCTCCGTCTCCTCCCCTCCCCCCAGGAGCCTCCTGTTAGGGGTGAGACGTTTATTTGAGCCACGAATACTTCGACCAGCGGTTTACAGTTAATTGACCATTACTTGTTGCTGGTGAATTTCCGTGGCAGGCCCCTGCTGCAGTTCTAAAACTTACTGAAAACGCAGAACCCATGGCTAAAGTTGACGCTGTGTATATTTTGCAGATCTGAAGACTGCATGTGTTTTGCATTTTAAATCATAGGAGAATCCTGGACATTTTCTGTGATGAGGTAGAAACTTTTAAGTCAGTTCGTAACATGCCTTGATTTGGCCTGGGTTTTTATTAATTTCTTTTTAAAGCTATGTGGCCGAAATTCTCGATAGGAAATTCAGAGAGGAGTAGTTTTTTGGCGATCAAAATTGAAAACCTGCTAGAACTCAGGACAGGTGCTTGAATGCCCTTTTTAACACTATTTAAGGCTCTTTGATGAATGCATTGTGAAAATCATTCTTAATAAATTCTTTTGAATGTCTACAACGTAATATACGCAAGGTATTCTTGCCACTGGATAGGCGTCAATAAAAGTTTAATTGCATTTTTGTTGTCTCTTAAGTAAGTCTTATTTTTAACTAAACATTGACAGAATATCTTTAAATGGTGACGTGGGGGAGGGGTGGGCGTTTCTCAAAGCCCAGCCAGTTGGGTACCCTGCTGTTTGTAACTAGTTCACAGACTGAATACATTTCAGTGAGATTTCCATCCTTAAGAGCTTGAACCAGCAACATCTTATTAATTCTTTAAGCTGTGGAAATATTTTCCAGTCCTTACGCTCTGATATGCATCCTTTTTATTTAAAAAAAAATGCTAATAAAAGGCAGTGTACTTAACTGTGCTTTGCAAATATTATGTCTGTTTGGAATGACTATCACTGGGCAAATTATTTGTAGAATGATTATCCTTTAGCTAGAAAAAAGAATCATTGCAACTCTTGGGCCAGAGATGTTTCTTTTTAATGTTAATCAAGGGGAGGGATTTGAATATGCATGCTTGTAGCCAGCAGGATGATTTAGGTTTTTTGTTTTGTTTTGTTTTGTTTTTTGTGAGGAAAAAAAAAAAGGCTCAAAAGGCAAGGTTTATTTTTCTTTCTGGGAATTAAAAACCATCATCGTCTTGATACTGGGATATTACAAGAAATGTACATTAGTTTTATGGGTCTGAACTTAGATGATTTGCCCAAGGAATCTGAGAAATAAAGCAAATAACTTGCTCTATATTAAAGTGGTCATTCAATATGAATATATTATATCACTCTTAACTTTTTTATTCTCTGATATGATTAATAGTATGTATATTCTTACTTTTGTCTCCTAACGGGCATATGTATCTTTGTGGACACTTCGGAGAGAGGGTTTTCTTGGACTCTCCCATTTATAGAATCTTTATACTCTTTTTCCTGCAAGGTCTTCTGCTTTTAACAGATTTCTAAGGCAACTATATTTGTGCTTTTTTCTTACGTGGGAAGACCAGCGAAAATAGTTTACTGAGTTGTCGACTTTATCAGTAGATAAAAATAAAAAAAATAATAAAAAAAACATTCTTTATTACAGTTTCAGGGAAACTTTTTTCAGGATATTTCTCAGTTATTCTAAGGGCCAAATTTTGTAAAATTTCCATTAGGAATGTCAGTTTCAAAAACCCTTTGTATAGCCTACGGCCTGTGAGGATAACAGGAATGAGCCTTATATATCCTATCACAAGAATTTCCAAGTTCCCAATAACCGTCTCCATGTAACGACCTGTGACATGCTTTTCTGAGATTTGGCTTTTTTTGATATCGAGTTCTTTCACACCGTTCATGTTACTTGCTTTATTCTGCCTTCTCCCCTTTGGTTTGGTGATCTAAAATATTCTGCTCTTTGATAACAACTCAGGTTTTGGTTTTTAAGAGTTTTTTTTTCCTCTCTCTTTCTGTGGATCTTGTGTTCTCATCCACAATAAAACTTAACCAGAACTCACAAAACCAAGCTCTCTTCCATTTCCCTTCCTCGGACTGCTTTTTCCTGACCCCTATCATGTCTTTATTTTTTATTTTCATTGTATTTTTTTAACACTACCTATATCCATTAGCTGCCTAATTCGTTTCTCTATTTCCATGTGGATGCAGTGGATTTATAAGAGAATTTCACAAAACAAGTAGTTTTTTAGTGAACTTAAAACAGAATTTTAAAGGAGACCTATTTTTATACTCAATAAAAAAGCACAAAAGTGCAGAAAGTATAAAAGGCTTACAAAGGGAAAACATAAGTTCATAAGGTTCCATGTATAAAAGTAATAATTTTATGGGGGTAGAGATAGTGTCAGATCCAGAACCTCTGCCCGAGGACAGATAGGACGGTCGTAAATGATTTGGGAACTTCTGGTCGCCTGCAGCTGTAAACAAGACTTTTCCGTGGAGTAAACAAACCACTAAAGAGCAATAGGGTCGAGTGGGGCTGTGGTTTCCAGTGAGCACTTGGTGATTTCTAAGCATATGTAGAGAGAGGCTCCCGGTTTAACTGTTTGATCAAACTTCTTTTAGGTCGCTTTTTCTCTTCTGTGACAGTGATTCACATAAAGCAATATGACAACAAGCTTGAAAACGCATCAGAACTAGAATTTCCTCCAGGGTCCTCAAAGAGTTCCTTTTTTTTTTTTTTTTTTTTTCTGGTCTCTTTTTTTTTTAAATGTGATGCTTACGTTAAACACATCACGTTGCCCCTTTCCAAAAGGAACAACTGGAAATAATAATGATAATAACTAACAACACCGCCACAGAAAGAATTTTGATCAAATAGCCCTGGACAGTGGGCCCTCTGTCTCATCTTTCCTTCACCCAGCTTATGTTCAGACACAGTATGCCTGGTCCCTGAGTCCCGCAGGGAGAACTTCCACGCCATCACCATGGATTCCTCACTGTCTACTTTTGCTGTTGTACATACGTTGTGGGTTTAGAGAGTCTCGCATTTGTTTTTGTGACACCTTTGTTTGAATGGACTGTTTTAAGACGGAGGCCTGTGTTTCAGGGTTGGGACTCCTTGTGGCTGTGGTATGGTGTAGCACTTCCGGATGGCCACCCTGGACAGGACGGGGTGACCTGACGTTTTGGAGCCGTTTTCAGCACGGCCCTGTTTAACAAGTGTGTATTTTTTAAGGCCACATGAAACTTAAACTTTCATAGCCCCTCCAGGGTTGGGAGCGGAAAGGCTGAAAAGCCCTTTTGTTTAGAAGTCTGAGTGGTTTGTGGGGGGGATCCTTTTTTTAGGGTTTGCATGTCAGCGCAGGACCGGTTGCTGTGAAACAGAAAAAAGAGGGTAAAAAGCTACCTGAGACAATGCGCTGGAGAAAGAAGTGTTTGCTAGGACTAGGGTAACGAAAATGCATGGCAGTCGTGTCTTTGGGTAGGCTATCTATAGCATGCAGAGTTTAGTATGTTAAAACAGTGTATGACGTTGCTGTATCAAAGTTGTAAAATTAAGCATTATTTATTGAAAACTATGTATTTTTTTGTAAAAACCTGATCACATAGAGAATATCAGTGGCTTGTGCTTGTACTTCGAATGGAACCAACTTCTCGACCACCCTTCTCGGTGCGCAGTGTTAACGCTCAGGGTTGAAAATAGTAACACTCCCATGTTGCTTTCGCAAGAGTTTTTTCGCAGAGGAACACAATTTGTTCAAAAGACTCTTAAATAAAAATGGTGTGATCAAGCTCCAACTCGTGGTTTTTATGTGATTTTTTTTTTCCTTCCAGTTTTGCACTGGATGACTTCCTGTTGTCTCCAAGTCGATGTGAAAGTCAGGCTTGCAAAGTTCTGGGGCCTCAGTGTCTAAAGCCACCTGTAGCCAGGACAGAATCGGGTCCCTTAGGGGCAGCAGAGGCCAATGGGCAACCTGCGGAGCTGGTGACAGTTGGAATGAGCGTGGCGATCATGTCTCGGTATTTTTTATCTGGCCAATAGAGTGAATAAAAGCATAGTCATAATATGAAAGGGTAGATGGTCATGTTTTGTCAAAACGTATGAAGTAGAAGAGGAACAGAAAACGTTTATCAGGGCAGTTGCTGCTATTGAATTCAATGCCAGCAGACTCCGTCACCCCAACCTCCCTCTCACTGAACGATTTACAGTGTAAATGTATTTTGACATAGAAATCATTCTGTATTGAGATTCTTGATATAAAATGCTTTTATGAAAGCCTGTAAGTGACCCTTGGAATTATTATCAGATTTTTTTAAAGATGTGTTTACATGGTGAGTGTGTGTTGTATATTAAATTTGGTTTTGTAGAAACGTTTGTGTTGTATTGTCACAAATCTCAGTCTGCAAGGAGCAGGCCACTCTGGGGTGCTGGGTGATACTGATTTCTGTCTGCCACACACAGAGGCTAAAGTCCAAGAATGACACGGAATGTGTGCACCGTAGGACTTCCACTTAGTCCTTGAGTATTTTAGGATGTCTCCCTCCTTGGTCAGACTATTTTTATGCATATGTTGAAGGATACAGCAACAAAAACATAAGCCCCAACAATTTTCATCTAGCAATAAAATTCCTTGAAATTAACACAAAAAAGATCTTCACTGTGGGGCAAATTCTTCATCAAGCCCATTTATGCTATTTGAATTTATTTTTAGTGAAAATTTTCCAAGTTAATAAATTGATTGGCATTTGTGCTAAAAATGTCCCCTACTAAGGTGTTTTTTTTTTTTAAAGAAACCCCATCAGGTGTGAAAACACCTGATTTCTCCCAGCAAATCTCAAAAATGTCTACCTGATTAAAATACACCATGAAATTAACTTCCCTTCACACAATGTCTCCAGCAAATATAGATGACAAATATACTCGCCAGACAAATCACTCGTTCTACTGGAAAGTGAATAATCTCAAGAAATGCTTAGCATAGAGAATTGAGATAATTAAATCTTTATTTTGACATGGGCCAAAGAGTGCAAAATTTTGCTAAAATTGTCCCTTTTTGGAATATCATCAGAGAAATGGGGTAGAAGGGAGTCCCAGCCGGGTCCCTCTGTCACTTTGTTACCAGTTGGACTGAGTCACTGAGCTAAAAGTTTGGGGGAGTAAACCATCAGAGAGGTAGATCTGCTCACAAGTGAGAGCATATGAATAAATCTGAAGAAAGAAAAAAAAAAAAGACCAGTTTGTTAGGGAGCTCGATCCTTTAAGACTACTCTCTCTGAGAGGAAATAGCCAGTGTGCATTTTGTTAGCACTTCCAGACCAGAGGCAGCAGTCATGATTGTCACCTGTGTCCCTTTCTGAAGTTTTTGGATGCTATTGTTTCCTGCTGGACCAAATGGTCAGTGGGTGGACCCTAGCAGGAGAATCCCTTGGAGGGTGGGGTGGGCTCCTGGGCACCCTGGGCTCACTTGCCTGTCTCTAGAGCTTTAACAGGATTCATTTTTATTGTCGTGCTTTGTTTAACTTGTTTTCTTAATACAGAGTCTCACTACGTAGCCCAGGCTGACCTTGAACTCATGGCCATCCTCCTGCCTGGGCTTCCCAAGTGCTGGGATCACAGGAGTGGGCCACCTAATGGGAGCTGAACTTCCAATCCAGATTCCTCAGTGCCAGAGTTGGGTCTGAAAGAAACAGGCCTCAAGCTTGGGCACTGAGCTGAATCGGGGTGGGGGTGGGGGTACCCAGGAGGCGAGGTGAAGGCTGGGATGAGGAGCCAGAAGGAGGAGGTGGAGAATACAGAAATGTGGAAAGCAGAGACCTCTGCAAGCACTGGGGCCCCAGGGAGGGGCAGAGGTCAGGCCAGGTCCTGAGGACCAAGCCTCTCAGTCCCCACAGCAACTCACTGTGCAGCTGACACTGAGCGTTCTGGGTGCTCGGTGCTTGCTGTGGGCTTGAAGGGCTGCTTAGCCAAGCTAGGGACTCCCTGGTGGGGAGAGAAGGTTCAGGGTGGGGGTGGGGTGCTGAGCTCTGAGGCCCTGAGATGCTGGGGGAGGCTGCTCTGAGAGAGCCAGGAAAACTCCAAAACAGAGGGCCCCTAAACCATTCGCCTCAGCAGGGATGGCGACTTGTGACCCGAACGACCAGCTGAGCTGTGACCTGGGCTTCATGAAGGGAGAAAGGAGACACACACAGCTCCGACCTGGGTCCGTGGCTGTGGAGGCCCACATTGCCCCCTCTTCTCCTCAGTGTGGAAGCACAGCCCAGTGTGTCCTGCATCCCACTGTGTAAAACTACAAAGAATTAAATGCGTTAATAAATCAGGCATGGTGGTGCACATCTGTCATCCAGCACTCAGGAGGCTGAGGCAAGAGGATGGCCTGGAGCTCAAGGCCAGCCTGGGCTGTATAGTTCCAAGATACCGGGCTACACAGCAGCCTGCATCATGGTGCGTGTGTTCACCCATGGGCGCGTGCGTACACACACACACACACACACACACACACACACATTAAATAGCTGGGGCATTAAAAGAGCGGCAGTGGGAAATGGGTGTTGAGAGCTCAGTGAACCTCCTAAAAGTTGAAAATAGTAACACAAGGAAAAGAAAAGAGATATACTGAGCCTTTATTTATTGATTTTTGAGACAAGTTCTCGCTATGTAGCCCAGGCTGGCCTTGAAACCATGGTGATTCTCCTGCCTCAGCCTCCCAAGTGCTGTGATTACAGGTGTGTACCACCAGGCCTGGCAAACACTGAGCATTGTTATATATCAGATTTGGCTTCGTGTGTATGTGTGTGTGTGCGTGTGTGTGTGTGTGTGTGTGTGTGTATCTGTGTGTGTGTGTGTGTGTGTCTGTGTTGCTAAGAATTGGACCCAGGGCCTTCACAGTGAGCTATATTTCCATCTCTTTTTTATTTTTACATTTTATTTTGAGACAAGCTCTTGCAAAGGCCCTAAATTACCCAAACCAAGCTCCAGTGTGTGATCCTCCTGTCTCAGCCTTCTAGGGTGCATCACCATCATGCCTGCCTTAGATATATTTTTAAGGGACAGTTTTACTAAAATATTTCTTTCTTTCTTTTTTTTTTTTTTTTTTGGTACCAAGAATCAAACTCACAACCTCACACTTGCCAGGCAGGCCCTGTGCTGCTGAGCTGTATCCCAGGCCTTAAAATATTTCCGAGAATCACTTTCCCCTTGTGACGCTTTCAGGACCATGCAGGGAGTCTTGTCCTCCCATCTCAGGCATTGCAAGGGGCTCTGTGCTGTAAGCGCACATCTTAGAAGTCCAAGTCCTCAGGACCTTCCTGCCGGGCAAGAAAAGACTGGACTCTGACACTGTCTCTGTCTCTGGACTCTGACAATGGCATCTTTAAAATAGAGTCTCAAATGCTGTTTATCCCTATTTTGCCCCTGTTTATTTTTAGTTTATTGAGACAGGAGCTCACTATGTAGTTCAGGCTGGCCTTGAACTCACTATTTAGCCCAAGATGGCCTCAAACTAACTGTATTCTTCCTGCCTCAGCCTCCCCTCTCAGGTGCTAGGATTATAGGTGTTCACTACCATGCTGCCCAGATAACAGTTAATATTTTAATGTTCTAACACACCATGTAGACTATCAGAATCAATAGATTTTGAGGAGCAAATTGGGAACAGAAGATAGCAGCAAAAAAAAAAAAAAAAGAAAAAAAAATCCCCGAAAGAGATTAACAAGGAAGCTATTAAAAGTGAACCAAAAGCTCCGTGTCTGGGAGGGTTTAGTGTAAAGATAAACAGCCCTGCTCTGATGGCTGCTGAGCAGTCACTGTGTTATATCACATTACACAAATCGGTGCTCGAGCCAGCAACACCAGGTCATCAGGAAAAGCTGAGCTCCGGCCCACCATGGCCCACCGAGGACGGTGGGCAAGCAGGGAGTTTCGTTTGTTTTGCTGTTCTTCCTGGATGCTAAAGCTAAAAGAAACACTTTGGCAGAATCCATTCACCTGACAGGGTTTTCAGAGTGAGAGGATTAGGGTCCCAGCACTTGCAGCAGGTGACAGGGAGCAGCTTGACCAGGGCCACTGGCTGGAGCTCAAGTGGCTGAGATTGGGTCCCCTGGACCACCTGACCCCAGCTGCTGTTTCAGCCCATGACTGTGTGATGCAGGAGAGGGCACAGAGGCAGGTGACACCAGTGACGCCCGTGATGCATGACTTGCTGGAATGCAGGGAGCCAGTCCTGGTACAAGGGGTGGACAGAGTTTTGGTGAAAAATGGGGGCACACTTGAAATTTCACTGTGATCACATGAAGGAAAGAGAAATAGGAAGTCTCTAACCTGAGGTGGTTTTGAACCTGGAGCCTTCACACTGAGCTACAGCTCAGCCCTTTTTTGCTTTTGTATTTTGAGACTGGACCTAAACTGCCCAGGCTGGGCTAGAACTTTCGACTTTCCTGCCTCAGCTCCCACAGTGTTGGGATGACAGGTGTGTGCCTTTGCACTTGGCTCTCTTCCAAATGATCCCATCCTTGAAAACTTCAAACTCTACCAAGAAAAAAAACACTTCTTAAAAGAGAATTAGCAAATTATATTAATTATTCGAGAATAAAAATGGTAATTTATTATTTTAACAGCTTAAACTTGACTTTTCCCCCTGCTATGAGGTAACTTTTACAAATAGGCTCAGAAAAGCAAGCAATCATAGCTCTATTTCAGTGATGAATCATGGTTCCCTGAGCTTTGTGTTTGGTGGTTGCTGTTGGCTATTTTTCTCTAGGTTTGGAAAAGCCTCTAGTAATCTTTAGGATAAAAGATATCA